TATTAAATTTAATGCCATGGTTTAAATGATGTTATAAATAAAAGGAATGACTTGTATTCGATGTGGTTAAAGTTATGTAAAATGGGTGTGTGCAACTATAAAAGGTACTTATACTAGGATTTTAGTCACCTGATCAAATAAAGTCATCTGATTAAATAAGTCATTTAATATACGACTTTTGTTCATTAATTTAATAAATATAATATATATTATTTATTTAAATAATATATTAATTTATTTAAAAAAAAAGGAAAATTATTATTAATAAATTTGTAATGTTTTTAATAAATTATAATAATGGGAATTTTATGCAAATTTTAAAAAATGTATATTTAATATAATTTAAATTACGTTTTTAAAGTTTATAATTAACGTTAAAAAAAATTTTATAAATAAAGTTAAAGTTAATGTTATTATTAAATGGCTAGTATTTAATAACGTGAAAAATATTTAAATATATTTAGAATTTATAAGTTTTTATAAAAGATTTATTAAAAAATATTCGAAAATAATTGCCCCATTAACCAATTTATTACGGTAAAACGAATTAAAATAATTTTTATTATAAAGTAATAATTTATTAATTTTTAAAAAACTTTAATATTTATTTATTTACGTATTATTATTTAAATATTTTAATTTATAATAAATTATTAAAATAAAAACGAACGTTTTATAAAATGTAATAAAAGTAATTCTTACGTAATTATATAAAAATGCGTGATATTTAATAGTTTTTTTATTATATAAATTAAAAAAAGTAAAGTTATATTATTTAATCTTTAATGTAAAATTAATAACAATATTATATATTTTTAAATAATGGAAATATTACTTAATTTATATTTTGTAAAAGGTAATAGTATTAATAAATTATTTAAATTATTAATATTTAATAATTAAAAAAAAATTAAATATTAAATAAATTTATTAATTAAAATAATTATTTAATTTTAATTTTAAAATTAAATATTAAATAAAATATTTAAATCTGGTAAATAAATTATTAAAACGTTTAAATTATTAAAATTTAATTGTAAAGTTAAAAATAAAACGTGATATTTAAACGTAATTCATATTTCGTTTTAATAATAAAATTAAAAAAAATATAATAAAAAAAGTTTTAAAATTATTATTAAAACGTAATAAAATAAAAAGTAATAATAATTATTATATAATATTAACAAATAATATAATAATAATATATTAAATAAAATTTATTAATAAAAATGTAAAAAAAAAATTTTTACGTAAAACAATTATAATAATATAATAATAAAATAAATTTATTATTGTAAAAAAATGGAAAAAAACCTTTTAAATTAATAAATTAACCGCGTGGAAAACAAATAATTAAAATATATTAAAATATAAAAATAAAATATATATACTTTAAAACTTATAAAAAAAATTATTATATAATTATTATAATATATTTATTACAAAATATTTAAAAGTTTTTAAAACGATTTAACGGTTAATTAAATGTTATTTTTAATAAAATTTATAAAAAAACGTAAAATATTATATTAAATTGTGTATTATTTATTAATATATAAAAATAAAATATTATTTTTTTTATAATAAACTTTATTTATTATTTATTTTAATTAATTTAATAAAATAATTATTAATAAATTTTATAATAAAATTATTTAAATTATTAATTAAAAATAAAAAACGTTATAATAATATTTTAATTATAATAAATAAATATTTAAAATATTTTATATATATTTTAATAATTAAAAATTTAATAACGTTAAAATTAACAAATTTATTTTTTTAAAAAATATTTTTAAAATTAAAATTATTAAAAAATATTATATTAAATAAAAATTTGTTATTTATAAGCAAATTTTAAATTATTTTATATTATTAATTCTATATTAAAAGAAAATTAAATATTGCATTTTATTTGTAAATAAATAAATAAATAAAAAGATAAAATTAAAACTTAAAACATTACTTATATATTTATTATAATTTAATTTAAAATAATTAAGTAAAAAAATTAATATTAATAAAATAAATATATAATATTTTAATATATATAATATATAATATAATATTAATATATGTATTAATAAGTTTTTAATTATAAGATTTTAATAATTTAATTAATAAACCTTTAATTAAAATAATAATAAAAGTTTTAAAAAAATTAAAAAAAATATAAAAAAATAAGTAATAAATTAATCAACTTTTATAAATAACAAATTAAATATATGTTAAATAGTATAATAAAAAGAAAATAATTATTGTTTATAAATTAAATAATTAAATTTTATTATTAATTAAATATATTAATTAATAAAAACTAAATGAAAAATTAACAAATAAATATTTAAAATTATTTAAAATAATTAACATAATTAAAAAAAATAATATAGCTTATAAATTAAATTTATTAGTTAATTATAAAATATATAATATATTTTTAATTAATTTTTTAAAACTGTTTTACAATTAAATAAATAAAATACCAAAAAAATAAATGGTAAACTTTATTAAAAAAAATAAAATTTATAAAATTAAAACTATTTTAATTTATAAAGGTATAAGTAAAAATAAATAATATTTAATTAAATAATAAAAATATAATAATAATAAAAATTTGTAATAAAAGCGTAAAAATATAATAAAAAAATTAAAAAAAAATTATAAAAACTATTTAAAATATATAAAATAATTTATTTATTAATTTAATAAAACCATTGCAAAATATTGGTTAAATGCTAATAAAATAATAATTAAAGTTAAATAAAAATATAAAATATTTATACGTAATTAATAATAAATAATTATTTATTAAATAAAAACCAGTTTAATTATTTATTATTTTTATTATTAATTATATTTTTATTTTTATTTATATCGCTTTTTACCATTAAAATATTACAATTTTATAACATATTAATAATTAATTAATAGTTAAAAAAATAATATTTATAATTTTTTTATATAATTTAATAAACAATAAAATAATAGCAAAAATATTTTATTGGTAAATTAATTACTTTTTAATAATAATAGCGATTTTTTTAACAGTTTTAATATTACGTTTTAAAACGAGGTAATAATATTTTTTTAATTTAATTATTTCGGTTTTAATAACTTTAATAATTTTATAAATAAATAAATTAATTTATATTTTTTTAATTTATAAGGTTTTTTTAACGTTAATTTATGTTTTTTTAATGATATTTTAATTATAAATTAATATAATATAAAAAAAAGGTATAATAATTAAATTTACAGTAAATTTACCATTATATTTATTTAAAAAAATAATAAAATTTATAATTTTTATTTTAAACGTTTTAATAAGTTATTAATTATTTGACCGTTAATATATATTAAAATATTAATAATAATTTATAAAAATATAAAATTTATTTTATTTTTTATAAATTTTATATTTAATAAAATTAATTAAAATTATTAATATTATATCGGTTAAAAAGTAATAATATATATATAATTATTATTTTTATATTAAATAAACGGTAACTTTTTTTAATTTTTTTAAAAAAATAATACCAAAAGGTAATAATAATATAACATAAAGCGGTAAAATATCAAAAAAATAATAACGGCATAATTTTTATTTTTATTATTATTATATTATTAAAATTAAAAAAATAATTAAAAATATATTTACAAATTTATAAAATTAATTGTTTTTATAAATAAAAATATTTTAATTATAGCGATTAATTAGCATATTACCAGTTATTTTATTATTACATATAATTTTTAAAAATAAAAACATATTAAAAAAAGTAATTTTATTAAATAATAAAAATTATAATAAACATATAACATAATAAAAGTTTTAAAATTTAAACTAAAGTTATTTATTAATTAATTATTTATTATATTATATATAAAAGAATTTTAAATTTTTTATAAATTTAAAAAAAAAAGTAAGTGTTAATAATACTAAAAATTATATATATATTATAAACTATTCACTAGCTAATCACTTGTTTCTCCGTAGTGGTCACATACCAAGGGCTGCTCATGACATACTCGGCTTATATCATCATCTTCCAGCATCTTAAACCGTCACTTCCAAGGGCCTTGCACAATGAATACCTACTACCTAAAACTAGATTCCCTTTCGTACTCCGCTTCCGTCTTGGAAGTTAAAAGTAGTCACCCACCCCCCTATTTATAAAAATGGATGTCGTAACTAACCATTTTTAATCGACAAGTGTATTACGTCGAAGATAAATTTTATTCTATTAATATTTTAGGTACGATAGTGTTAATCACATTGGAATGGCCCATAAGATACGAGATCTCTAATTCTGAACATGTGACACGAATAGCTTCAAGCCATACTAAGCAAATAATCTCATGCTTAAGTTGACGAATAACGAAGTTAATAGACATCTCTGAATCACGGGGGAAAGTTCTTTAAACGCAGATAATCAACATACATGGAACAAGTGTAAAGCGTCAGTCGCAGTAACTAATTACTGCATCATCTCTTGCTGTTATTGATAGCAATTATAGACTTAAACGTAGTAATAAACCACAGACCGATTAGCCCATGCATTCCATATAATCTTAGCATAACCCAATGTTAGATGATTATTATATATACAACTTATAAACGCAACGAGTGGATGCTTCAGCTTTAGGTCTTGGTACTCACCGTTCTACACAAAGAACCAGTACCTAAATTCATAGTTATTGGTATAGTAAGACAACAGAAGAGTCGTTTACTACATCAATAGTAGTAATTATATTATAATAGTAACTTTTATATCTAAAGTTCTTGTAGACTCAATGACTCGAAGCTCTGTACGTCGCTTGGTAATAATCAGCAGCTGAAAATCCCTGTTGAGATGGAGCTAACGCGCTCGGAATACCCTGAAGACCAACCACTTCTATTAATTAGAACATCCCACCTATGATAGGCTTGCCCGAGCTCATTTAAAAGTATGGTAACGTAATTAACGCATGCGTCCTGCAGCTTTGTCCGATAGTGTACGAGTTTCCCTTCGCTATCGGCAATATTGCATAAGCCACAACAATAGTCGTCTTTGCAAGTTGATTAACTGATACACTCTCCACAGTGGACAAGAAAAAGAAAAGAAAAGAGGAAAAGCATATCCGGCTCGCATGGTAAGATTGACGATTCTACAGAACTCGAACTTTCCGAATGATATATGAAGTCGCACGAAAAGGAAATGAGGGGAGCGTTGAACTCACTCTATTGAAATGGACTTGCCGTGTTCGTCCTGGAACAGATTGATAGTAGCACTGTGAGCCGTTACTCAACATAACCGCTGCGTGATGAGTTGTTGGGAGAAGAAAGAAGATACGATACCGTACAGGACGCCCGTGACGTAAAAAGGCATATATACAGTTGCGGCGTGACCTGAATATTCGTGCGCCATCGGTTCTTGTATTATTAATAGGTTGTAGTATTAATAGGTTGTAGTAGATGGCTCGTTTCCTCGCTCCGTTCTTCCTTCTAGTTAAGCAACAGACATCATGTCAGTCCCTATCCCACAACCTCCGGGCGTGCCCCTCCTAGGCAACATCTTCGATATCGACCCAAGTAACACGTGGGATTCGCTGAGGAAGCTAGCAGAGAAGTACGGGGAAATATTCCAGATCAAGGTCTTAGGTCATACTATCGTCTTCGTAGCCGGTGCGGCCATTGCGGAGGAGTTGTGCGATGAGAAACGGTTTCGAAAGTATGTCGGTGGTCCGATAGTTGAGATACGGTACGCCGTACACGATTCTCTGTTCGCGGCCTTCGACAATGAGGCGAGTTGGGGTATCGCGCACCGCATCATCGCCCCGAAGCTCAGTCCGCAATCACTCGCAGAACATTTCGTTGAGATGCGAGACACTACCACCGAGCTTATCACAAAGTGGAAAGGGCTCGGCACCGACAACGAGGTGTCCGCTATCGACGAATTGAACAGATTGGCCCTCGAAGTGACGACGTTGACTCTCTTTGGGAAGAAGTTGAATTGTCTCTCCGGGCCTGAGCATCCAATGATAAAAGGGATGGAGGACTCAACATCTGAATCGATGAAGCGACCTACCCGTCCCAAGTTAATGAACTGGCTACTCTACAGTGGCAAGTTTACAAAAGCCAGGGATGCGATGCGAACGTACGCGCAAGAATTGGTGAACTACCGAAAGGCAAATCCGACAAATCGACAGGACCTCCTTGCGATACTAATGAGCGCCAAGGATCCGGAGACGGGCATATCTCTGACAGACTCGCAAGTCATCGACGAGATAGTCACCATGCCGCTCGGCAGCTATACGGCGCCGGGAATGATTAGCACTGCAATATACTTCCTCCTGAAGAACCCGCAAGTCGTGACCGATGCGCGCCAGGAACTAGACTCAGTTATCGGCGATGGCGAGTTTCAATTCGAGCACCTCGCACAGCTCAAATACGTCGAGGGAATCATGCGTGAATCCCTGCGACTCTCATTCGCAGCGCCGGGCTTCAACATTGAACCCATACCCAGTGAGAGCAAGGCCCCCGTGCAGCTAGCCGGCGGCAAGTATCAAGTCGCACACAATCAGGCCATGATCATTGTCTTGGCAGGAGTCAACAGAGACCCGACTGTATTCGATAAACCCCTTGCCTTCAGGCCTGAGCGGATGATGGGCAAGGCATTTGATGATCTCCCCTCTGGAGTTAAGAAGTGGTTTGGAAACGGGAAGAGAGAGTGCATCGGGAAGCACTGGGCTTGGCAGTTCAGCATGGTTGTGCTGGCGAAGCTAATCAAGGAGATTGACTTTGAGAGCGTTGATCCGAGTTACGTGTTAGAACAAGAGGGTTGGTTTCACTTGGAACCTGTGGGCTTCCAGGTCGGAGTCAAGCCGAGGGCTAACTGAAATTATGGTCCATGGAGTGTTTATTGAAGAGTATTTATTGCATGTAGCTTCTGTCGTAACTAAGGATAAATGGTAGCACACATGTACCACATATTCCACGATCTAATAAAGTGATTCAGTTGAATATTCACTTCTTTGAATCCAATGTATGTTAGGTAGAAGTTAGAAAAAGGGGGACGTACAAAGCCAGACGGGGGTTATAACATGTTATGCATTATGCACATTACTTATTTATGCAAATATCACGTGCTAAATCATCTAAGGTGGCTTCACAGTATTAATTACCGTATACATTCAGCAAATTGCTCAATTCGCACCGTAGACATTTTTTGGCAGCATCATCATCAGAACTCGGGAATTATTTCGTACAAGTAGCAGAAAGGCAGATCTAGAGCAACACCCACCAGCCCAGCCCAGCCCAGCCCAGCCCACTGACGAAGCCGACAACCATGGGTTCGAGCTCGTCTAAGCCGGAGGCGAGCCAATCCTCATATGTCTGGAAGGCGTAAGTTCTAAATCATTAGAAATATTCTCGTCCTAAGTTGTATCATACATCATCGTCCTAGCATCGCCCGACTAACTTGGCACTCTTGGTTACTCTTAGATCCTCGCCTATAGGCATCTCGCACGATGTCGTCGAAACCCTCCAGTCAAGTAGCGAAGTGAGCACCCATATCCTCTTCCACCTCCCCAACAGCTTCCGTTCCCCCCCACCAAGACCCAACATCCTAAACCTACCTATATACTATACTAACCACTCGTCCAACCCCCCCAGACCGACACCACGCGCGCGCAGACCCTCGAGCTAGCCGTCCAAGCGCGCGTAGCCGAGGAACTCAAGAAGCTCGAGGCGCAGGAGACGGCGGCGCTCAAGGCGATGCAGGACAAGATCGCGGAGCTCGCGGACAGCAGCGGGGCCGGCGAGGACGACGACAAGCAGCTCAGCCGGCAGGCCGTGTCGAAAGAAGTCGAGGCGCTGCGCGCGCGCCTAGAAAAGCGCAAGCAGCTGCGCCCGCTGCCGGATACCGTCGAGCAGGCCCGCGGAAACGTCGTGCGCTGCCTGCTCGAGAACGACCGCCGCCCGCTGGACTGCTGGCGCGAAGTCGAGGCTTTTAAGGAGGAGGTCCGGAGGCTGGAGAAGGAGTGGGTGGATAAGGTCGTTTCGTGAATGGAGGGCTCTCTCTCTACGGCTGCTACGAAGTAGAAGAAGAGAAAGAGGAAGAGATGAATAAATAAATCTCCTCTTCGGATGATGTCCATCGCTACCCCCAAACCCCTAATACCTACGATAGATACTCTGTTGTAACAATATTCGACACTTATAGCATAGCATTTTAGGAAGCGCTCAGGGAAAACAGAGCTGTATAGAAAGATGGATGATAATTGGTTTCTCGCACTTCCGTGCTATATGCTGAGTATTATTATTCATGTGAAATCTGTATTTAACGAGACATCTAAAGTCGAATTTTCTACAGCTGCGGCATCACCACCACCACCACCACCATACTTCTGCCTCCGTAACTCCTCTCTCCTCCTCAGACCCTCCGCTCTCTTTCTCTCCCGCCGGACCCGCGCGTCTTCCCACCCGCTCTCGCCCACCGGCCTCCTCGCCTCCGCAAGAGCCGCCCGGAATCTCCCGATCCTCTTCGCGTTCTCGACGAACCGCTCGTTGGCGATGCGGATAAGCGTCCGTAGATACGCCGGCGACACGGTGCGGCGAAGCTTGTCGTTGCTGCTGCGGCCTCCGGACTGGTATCCGATCAGGGACTCGAACGTGAGGCCCATGGACCGGATGGCGACTATGGGGGTTGCGTGCTGTTCTCCGGCAGCGGGGGTTAGACTCACGGCGCCGCTCTCCCGGAACCCGGCTTGTAGAGCACACCGGAGGAGGAGCTGGGCGTGCTCTGGTGAGGCGGTCAAGACGTGGAGAATCTAAAATGGTTAGGTCAGATCAGGTTGTTGTGTTCCACTGCCCCCAGTAATGAATGCATGTCCGCGTATGTGTGTATAGACCGTCATAGCAGCGGTGTACGCAGTGGATCCTTGGGTTGGGAGGGAGATTGGGAATAGGAGGTAGGTACACTTACCATAGGCTCGAACTTGAAGTGGACAAGCCTCGCAGCAGCGACATCCCGAACAGAACCATCCGCTAGCATTTCCCCAGCCTCGTCTCTCTCTTCCTCCTCCTCCTCCTCCTCCTCCTCAGGACATCTCCTCAGCCCCAACATCTCCTCCACATCATCCCCTTCGCCCTGTCCCAACGGAACCGGATCATGCGAGACAAATAACCACGCACCCCCACCGCCCTTCCCACCCACACCCGCAAGTTTCCTAACCTCGGTTTTCCCAGCATCATCATCATTATCATCATCATCATCATCCTCCTCGACCCCATCTCCTTCTCCCCCATCCTCCTCACCAACAGCAACAGCCTTCTTGCTCCCCTCCAGAAACACGCTCACCCTCCCCGCACAACTACTCGTCGTGACGAACCCGTCCAACCCATTAACTTCACCAATCAACTCGCGGATCCCCGCGTCCACGGACCCCTTGGGCGAAGCATCCGTGTACTCGTCATCCGGGCGGGCTAACTGCTCCAGGATCCGGATCTTTCTCCGGGTGAAAGTGGGAGGCGGCGTTGGGAGGGGCAGGTCCCCCTTCATTTTCATTGGTGTTTCCTGCCTTTCTCTTAAACGAGCAAATAGTTAACTTTAAGTTGTTGGAATAGTAGTATTAGTTTACGAGGTTGACTGGCGAAGAATTCGGACACGCTTGAGTACCTTAAGATAAAATTTGAGAAAAATTTGGACTGTTTGATCCGTAAGAATCCACTAAAATTAACAACCTGATAACTATCTTCATAGAAATAAAGTACTCGCGCCTTATAAAAAAAATAGGTTTAAGAAATATGGCAAATCACCCGAGTTCATATTATATAAATTTCTTGACATATTTCTAAATTAAATCGATGGCTGAGCAGTAAATAGGAGATTAGATGAAAGCTAACGAGCTTGGCTGGCAATTTTGCGATTTAGGGATTTAACACAGACATGTCACATCGGGTATTATGAGCAGCATATTCTGGAGATAGTTCTGATTAATAGATAATAGCATTATCGCAGAACCGGGAACGAGAGTGTCCTGCAAGTCCAGGCCATCCGCAATACCACGCCTCCATAAAAGCATCGAATAATATGTTCCTCGGGCTGGCCTCAGCCTAGCCATAGTAATACCAAAAGCCAGAAGCCTCTTTGAAGTCAACAAGGGGTATCATGTCCTAACCATTCCGCAAACGCCTCGACCAACAGTGCAGCCCTCGGCACGATTAGCGGATAGCTATCAAGCCCACCGCATATCGGCCAGGGATTTTGACCTAAATAAGGCTGACCATCTAATTGCGTAACTCGCGATCGATAGTTGGGCGTTGCAGTAGGTTGGTGGACATGACCGACTTAGAAACCGTGGACCTTAATGGTCTTCGGATCAAGCTCTAGACCCTCTTTCTTGTCAACGAGGAACTCCTGTACATCCTTGCGCTGGTCGCCCTGCAACTGGATGACCTCGCCCATCTCAGTATCGTTCACGATGGTGCCATTGCAAGCTAACGCGAAAGCGCAGTCAGTATAATGAACAAACAAACAGACATTAAAGGGGCTACACGAAAAAGCGGGACATCACCACAACATACCGAATTTCTTCTTGATGACCTTCAGGATTTTCTTCTGGTCGAATTTCTTCGGAAGACCTTGCACAGTGGTCAAGGTTTTACGTCCATTCCGCTCTATAAGATATTAGTTAGTATAACACATTTTACATCGCATATTCCAGAGTGGAGACGAGGGATAGAGCAATGCGGCGCGAGTTGACTACCACACGTGAGGTACATCGGAGGTATGGTATGTACACGTACGTTGAATGCGGATATGGATATAGTTCTGGGACTGCTTGGATTCACCTGTATCCTCATCGGCTTCGGCGAAGGGGTCTGTTTGAATATTGGTTAGCCTATGACGCGAAAGGGAGGTGTATCAACCAAATAATCGATAGGTTAAGCAGCAAGGGCGACAAAAACAGCAGTAACATCGATGCTTATGGAGGACATCAATAGATCTCTTCATCGCCCTAGCATCATCCGACGATGAAAGATAGACTGCACGCACCATAGGTCTTGAGGTTTTCGATTGACATAAACTCGAGTTTACGGGGGTGACTTGGGGAAAAGGGTTTGTGGAGATGAACTCGGTGAAGCGACAGACGACTGTATTAGTAGCCTCGCTAAACTGTAGAGATCCTGTGAGGTAGTAATCTGTATGTGGTTTGCGGGGGTCGAGCGACGTAATTCTTGATTACGTTGGTGATATTAAGAGATGGTGTAAATGTTGACGTTGTTGTTTTGTTCTTGGTGGGTGGCTAAGGATCAATTTGTAGAAGAAGAGAGGACGAGAAAGGCCGCAACTAGCAGAGGCAGTGAATGGAGGGGCAATATCGATTTAGCGGGCCACTAGCGAATCGGCAAGGGGTGAGTGGGTCATCCCCTGCACCTGAAAGGCTGGTAGCCACGGCTGGGGGGCGGTCGAACCTCCTGTCCTTGTGTAGGGGTAGAAGATTCGTGCCACTCATGAAAATACAAGGTACATAGCGGCCTTTTCAGACTCAGACAGCCTTGGAACTTGGTACCTATTATGGGGGAACAGGTACCTCCATACCTACATGTACCTATGTAGGTACGGAATACATACATGTACCGTACTTACCTTAGGTACGTACTTCCAACATTTGCGGTCACCGGGAAGTTGCAAATGCCGGAAGAATGCAGCAAGCACATGCCGTACAGCTGCCACACAATCGATACCACCAATGTCGGACATGTGCCACAACTGTAATCCAGACTAAGACACAATTGTCCATTAAGATTTTAGATTTTAGTTTCATTCGAAAATCATGAACATTGGACGATGTGATGGGTGACGGGTGACGGGTGACGGACAACAACTCTACTCAGGTACCTATTCACTATATCCACCATCTGCATCGTCCAAACAATTTTATCCCCAATATTCATACTCATACATATGCGGACCTACACATCCACGAGGATACCTACCCTTCTTAGCAGCTGACCCCCCTGCGCATCTGCATGTGGCCTCCTTTAAAGGGAGGGCATCTACCTAGAATATCAGTGAGCATCGGTCTCATCGTTGGCCAATTCGAGTGGACAGCCTCTACATACTTATGTCATCCTGTATCCCCTCGATCGACCTATCCGTGTCCCGATTCCAAAGACCCTGCAGGTAACATAACACATATTTAAAAAGGCCTCCCATCATATCAATTTCAATTTTGCAATGGGCTTCGAGGCGCAAGAGCTTCCCGATGGTTCTCCGAGTCTAATTAAAGATTCGTCTGGTTCAAGATGGACTCCCTTGTTTCGGAAGAGCTGTGAGTTCGAGTCGCAAATCTTTTTCAAAGTCATGATGAACTTGATCCGCAATCCGAATATCAATTCCAGCTGGCTATTCCGGGCCGATATCTTAGTCGAGAGGGATCTAAGTCAACAAGATGTGACTACTGACTCCGCGGTCACACAGCCGATCATTCTCTACTTCGAAGACATGCACCTTGATAAAGCTCTAGTGCGGAAGCTTATTCCAAGAAATACTCTAAGAGATCAGCCTCTAGATCAAACATGCCTAATTTACCATGGTAGTGGGCCGGGGAATGTAGAAAGGTCTATGGTTATTTACAAACCCCACGTCTCATCTCCTGATGACATGCCATACTACCATCCCAAAGTGCAAGGCATAGCATTTCTCCACGAATGGAGCGCTGATGACGAGGGCTCAGTGTCTATCCATTACCATTTCTTTGACGATGGGGACCGTTTACCAAAGTTGGTGGGTACGGCTCTTAACCTGTTATCAGTGCTCCATAAGCATGGCGAAGGAACTAAAAAGGGGTATACTAAGCGAGTTCATCACGACACCATCATTCCCCAGATTTCTGTTCAGAATACGTATACTAGGCTGAAACAAAACTATGCCCGCCAGCTTATTCAAACCTGGGTCGAGGTTACAGACCCATCCAAGCACGTGTTTGAAGACCTGAGCATTGCGGCATTTCTCATCGAACTGTGGGCTCAGATGTATAAAGATTCTCCGTTCCCTGGATTTGTTGATATAGGATGCGGCAATGGTCTTCTCGTACACATCCTTCGAAAGGAAGGATACTCGGGATGGGGATTTGACGCTCGAAAACGCAAGTCGTGGGAACAGTATTCTGATACGATTAGTGACGAGCCTGAGCATCAAGAGAGTCTCCGGCAGCACGTCCTGCTTCCCTCTGTGATTGACCATGATCTAAGTACGAAGTATGGGAATGGTGAGGTCATCTACAATGTAGATAGTGCTAATCTTATACACGACGGTTTATTTCCTGAAGGAACTTTTATCATATCCAATCATGCGGATGAGTTGACACCATGGACACCGATACTTGCTACTATATCAAACTGTCCGTTTATCATGATACCATGTTGCAGTCATGACCTTACCGGCGCAAGATTTCGGGCTCCCGCGCCGAAAGCGCAAAACAAATCACCGTCGGCATATTCGTCACTGGTTGAATGGATAAAAAATATAGAGAAGGACTGCGGCTGGGAGGTAGAAACTGAGATGCTGAGGATACCAAGCACAAGAAATACTGGCTTGATCGGCAGAAAAAGGAGCTCGTCCTCAGCTATAGACATCCAACAGGTTATAGCTAAATATGGCGGTACAGAAGGATACGCAGATAACGTGATGAAGCTAATAGATAAGCCGAGAGGACACTGACGAGATGTTAAGAATATATGTAAAGAACCAAACTCAATACAGTAAATAAAAATTGAATAGAATTGCGATGCCTCTTTATAAGGTATGAAGGTACGTACCTCCAAGAGTACCCAAGTCAGAGGTCCACTACGTACCTGAGATGTGGCTTGGTTGAGCACGGATCACGTGGCTTGACTGGAGCAGTTGCAACGTCGCTCCTTTCAAAGGCTTTAGGTAAACTACCTAAGGGAACCTTAATGTGCTGGCCCGAATTTATGTGTGAATTAAAGCACTACACCAAAGACCGCGATTATCTTCAACTTTCACCTTTAATACAGCCGTCTCACCACCCACCATGAGCTACGGCAAGAAAGATGAAGATGCCGACCTCGGCCTGGTCAAGGTCGACCGCACCCAAGTTTTCCAAGAAGGTAAGTCTAAAAGGTTCAATTCAACATCTAAGATCCAAAGTCCCCCTAGTTGTTGTCCACTCCGCTATATGGTACACAGCTAAATAGTACCAAGCTCGATTATTCAATAGTTCACCAATTCAACCACGAAGATGTCGCATTCTCCTAACAAAGATTGCCCTCCTCCTATATACCGGCGAGAAGTTCCCGACGAACGAAGCCACCACCCTGTTCTTCGGTATCTCGAAGCTATTCCAGAACAAGGATGCCAGCTTGCGACAAATGGTTCATCTGGTCATCAAGGAGATTGCCAACTCGGCAGAAGATATTATTATGGTTACGAGTACCATAATGAAGGATACGGGTGGTAGTACAGACGCAATCTACAGACCGAATGCTATACGAGCCCTATGTCGCATTATCGACGTGAGCCCAATGCAGAATGCTAGCTTCCTAATTTCCCCTTGCTGATGCCTTGTAGGCGACAACTGTCCAATCGATCGAGCGTGTAATGAAGACTGCGATAGTCGACAAGAACCCTTCAGTATCCTCCGCCGCCCTTGTATCTTCCTACCATCTCCTCCCGATCGCCAAGGATGTCGTTCGACGATGGCAGTCCGAGACTCAGGAGGCTGCTGCCTCGACCAAGTCCTCGGGTGGCTTCTCCCTTGGCTTTTCATCTTCCTCTGCTTCGCTCCCGGTCAACAACTCAACTATGACCCAATACCACGCCATTGGCCTCCTATATCAGATACGGTCTCATGATAGGATGGCTCTGGTTAAGATGGTGCAGCAATTTGGTGCCGCTGGTGCTGTCAAGAGCCCTGCCGCTATAGTGATGCTGGTCAGGTTGGCTGCGCAATTGGCCGAGGAGGATCAATCCCTCAGGAAGCCCATGATGCAGCTACTAGACGGATGGTTAAGACATAAGAGCGAAATGGTCAACTTCGAAGCAGCCAAGGCAATCTGTGATATAAGAGACGTTACGGACGCAGAAGTCACCCAAGCTGTTCATGTGCTGCAGCTATTCCTCTCTTCGCCTCGTGCCGTAACCAAGTTCGCTGCCCTCCGAATTCTGCATAACTTTGCTTCCTTCAAGCCGCAAGCCGTCAACGTTTGCAACCCAGATATCGAGGCACTCATCTCCAACAGCAACCGATCAATTGCTACGTTCGCTATTACTACGCTCCTCAAAACCGGCAATGAAGCAAGTGTAGATAGGTTGATGAAGCAAATCTCTGGATTCATGTCGGAAATTACGGATGAATTCAAGATTACTATCGTCGAGGCCATCCGAACCCTATGCCTCAAGTTCCCGAGCAAACAAGCTGGCATGCTTTCTTTCTTGAGCGGCATCCTGCGCGACGAAGGTGGTTACGAGTTCAAGCGGGCCGTGGTAGAAAGCATGTTCGATCTCATCAAGTTCGTGCCGGATTCCAAGGAAGATGCTCTCGCTCACCTCTGCGAATTTATCGAAGACTGCGAGTTTACGAAATTGGCTGTTCGTATCCTCCACTTACTAGGTTTAGAAGGTCCCAGGACCTCTCAACCTACCAAGTACATCCGGTACATCTACAACCGTGTCGTTCTAGAGAACGCCATTGTGAGAGCAGCAGCCGTAACCGCTCTAGCCAAGTTCGGTGTGGGTCAGAAGGACCCCGAAGTCAAGCGTAGCGTCGACGTTCTGTTGACTAGGTGCTTGGACGACGTGGATGATGAAGTCCGTGACCGTGCTGCTCTCAACCTGAGATTAATGCACGAGGAGGACGGTTTGGGTGAACGCTTCATCAAGAACGGTAAGTACATTACTATATCTAACAAACGATATGAAAGACTAACGAGGAGCACAGAGAATATGTTCTCACTACCTTACTTCGAACACCAGCTTGTCATGTACGTAACATCTGACGATAAGTCCGCCTTTGAAACTCCGTTCGATATCAGCCAGATCCCGGTCGTCACCCGGGAACAAGCAGATGCCGAGGACCGCACGAAGAAGCTTACGGCCACTACGCCATCTCTAAAGCCGCCAAAGACAGGACCCACAAAGGCGGTGCCAACTGGCGCGGAGGCGCAAGCTTCGGCGGCCGCTGCAGCGCAGAAGTACGCTCAAGAACTTCTGTCTATCCCAGAGATGAAGGAGTTTGGCAGTGTCCTCAAGTCGTCTCCTGTTGTTGAGTTGACCGAGGCCGAGACTGAGTACGTTGTATCAGTCGTCAAGCACATCTTCAAGGAGCACATTGTGCTCCAGTATGAGGTTAAGAACACCCTTCCAGCTACTGTCCTCGAAAACGTGTCGGTGGTAGCAACACCATCTGACGAAGAAGAACTCGAAGAAGTATTCATTATCCAGGCTGAGAAACTCCCCACGGATGAGCCCGGAAAGATCTACGTGGCATTCAAGAAAGCGAACGGCGAAGGATCACTGCCAACTGCTACCTTCTCCAACATACTCAAGTTCACGAGCAAAGAAATCGATCCTACTACCAACGAGCCTGAAGAGACTGGCTACGACGATGAGTACGAGGTATCAGACTTCGATCTTGCCGGTAGCGATTACGTGATACCCACGTTCGCAGGCAACTTCAATCACGTATGGGAACAGGTGGGCGCGGCTGGCGAGGAGGCTGAAGAGACGCTGCAGCTGTCTGGCGTGAATAGCATCGCAGGTAAGTGCTTATATTCTTATATCATTACTCTCTTAAGACGCTATGACTAACGTTAAATACCAGATGCTACGGAGCAACTTGCCAAGACGCTCTCCCTACAACCACTAGAAGGTACAGATGTGCCGGTGAACCAGACCACACATCAGCTCAAGCTCCTGGGCAGGACAGTCAACGGCGGAAGGGTAGTGGCAAACGTCAGGATGGCGTACTCGTCAAAATCAGGAGTAACAACCAAGATTATAGTACGCAGCGAGGAGGAGAATGTTGCTGCTATGGTGGTGGCATCCGTCGCGTAATAATGATGGTTTCTGGAAAGGCGTTTCTGCAAAAAATGACGAGCGATGTCCTTTCGGTTTTGAGGGTACCTTATGCATATTACTAGAGAATGGAGAAAGGAGAAAGGGGTGAGCAGCAGGACTTGTGCGATCCTAGGCGAAATAAGGACCGAGTCATCCGTGTTTATAGGAAGTGTCGAGATGAATTTACGGTAACCTCTCGAGTGGCAGAACGAACCCAAGAGGTTGAAGCCGAATAGGTATGACGAATTGATCAGTATAATAAGCTCTAATAACTTGTGTTACTTTTACTCTGGCTAATTCGCATAGCCAAGCAACTTATAGATACATATAAGTTAGATGGATTCCACATGGGTAGATCACTTATACGTACATATATTAGGTACCTCCTATATGCAAGTACCTGTTTAGGTACTTGAACATATGTACATACATGTACATGCAATTTACACGTTGCACATGGGACGCGACCCCCCGTCAGTTCCTCCGTCAGTTCGCGTTAATTGAATTTGCTTGGAGCTACTGCCCTGTAAATGTAGGTGCCTCCTATGTAAATTTCTAGCTTGGAAAATGGGTCGTCGATATTGGATGCACACAATGACGTTTTCTCCATATTTTTTTCCCTTGCCCTAGCTATAGCCAACTCACCTTTTTCTTTTTTTACTTTTTACCTTTTCTTTTCTTTACTGCTACATACATACATACTACATAATACTAATTCCCAGAGACTATCTATATTATGTACACTGCTAGACGATTAGTTGCTCTTTGATCGTCTTTAAATAAAGGAAGGGGACGTCTGTCCCGTCTGCGTCGAAGCGTTTTGATGATACCTTTGTATCTATCCGGCATCCGAAGTGGCAGCAGCTAGCCCACCAATACAGAGAAGAGAATTGTTAAGATCGATTTAGGTTTTAGGTTTCTTCAACTATAACGAAGAGCAGCATCATCGTCGGTCAAGATGGTGTACGTGCGCCAGGAATTCCTGCCGAATCTAAAGGCGTATAAGTACTCGAGCGTCGACCACTCGTTGACGTCCAAGTACATCTTAAAGCCGTTCTACAACAATGTCGTCATCAAGTGCTTCCCCATGTCCATGGCCCCGAACCTCATCACCTTGACGGGTTTCATGTTCATCGTCGCCAACTTCTTTACTTTGCTATGGTATAACCCGACTCTCGACCAGGACTGTCCGTCTTGGGTTTATTACTCGTGGGCTGTTGGCCTGTTCCTATATCAGACTTTCGATGCGGTAGATGGGGCGCAAGCGTATGTCTTACAGGCAGACTAGAGCTGCCACCCCCACTATGGATAGACAGAGGCAGAGGCAGAGGCAGAGGTAGCTAATTCGCATCTTTCAGACGACGAACGAGACAAAGCGGTCCCCTCGGCGAGCTATTCGACCACGGCGTCGACGCCCTGAATACTTGCCTCGAATGCATTATCTTCGCCGCCTCGCAGAACATGGGGCAGAGCTGGTACACGGTCGCCGCGCTCTTTGCCTGTACGTAGAATCACAAAGCAATTCTTTGTTCTCTGCATTACACGATAGTAGCAGCTAATAAGTATCCCCAACAGCCCTCCAGACCTTCTACGTCCAGACCTGGGAGGAATACCACACCGGTACTCTCACGCTGGGCATCGTCAACGGCCCCGTCGAAGGCATCCTGATCATCGTGTTCGTGTATGCGCTGACAGGGTACATGGGCGGCGCCTCGTTTTGGCAGCAGTCCATGCTCGAAACCCTGCATATCCCAAAGTCCCTCGGCATCCCCGAGTACCTGTATAACCTGTCCTTCACGCAGTGGTACATGGCGCAAGGCACCGTCGTCATGGTCTTCAACACGATTGAGAGCGCACGCAACGTCATCCGCGCCCGTCGTGCCCGCGGCGACCGCAGTCGCTGGGCTTTGCTTGGCTTACTGCCCTTCGGCAGTATCTGGGTCCTCGTCGTTGGGTACTTGTACTTGCAACCCTTAATCCGCACCCAGCATCTGGTCCCCTTCGCCTTATTCGTCGGCTTCGTGAACGCGTATAGCGTCGGCCAGGTCATCACCGCACACCTTGTTAAGCTCCCGTTCCCCTACTGGAACGTGCTAGCATTACCCCTAGCCTACGGCATCATCGACTCCCTCGGCCCCATCCTCCGGTCGCGCTTCGGCTGGGCCTGGGGCTGGCCCAGCGCTCTCGGAGACGACGTGTACCAGGTCGCTTTTATGTTCTCCATGTTGGGCGCTGCGGTTGGTGTGTACGGGTCTTTTGTTGTCGATGTGATTGTTACGATTTGCGATTACTTGGATATCTGGTGCCTTACGATTAAGCACCCGTATGTGGAGGTTGAGGAGCATACTAATGGGAAGAAGGTAAACTAGGGGGCAAGTGAGTGGAAGTAAGCATATATTATTTTGGGAGACAGCGTGAGATGCCCTAACAGCGAAGCACGTCTTTCTGGGATTAAGAGACAGGCAGATGTTCTATTTATTCTGCTGGGTGGGATGTCCCCAGTAGGGCGTTGGCAATATCTTGGTTTTGCTTGGCTGGGGGATAATGAAGATTTAATGAGCTGGGTGGAAGGACGGCCTATCAGGGGAATATATGTTCGAGATAATGATGAATGATGACCAAGTGCTGGGCGTCTACACTCCGCTCTGTTATATTATGCTATGCTATGTTATCTTCTTGTAATGAGCGCTTATGTATTTGCAAGGTTTGATATACCCATATGAAGGATAGAAATGAGGAGAGCTGTGGTAGTAGGAGCGAAGAAGAATATGGTTTATTAATTCGGTTCTAGTTCTTGGTGCATGACGTGTCTCTTATTGTTAATTTAAAGGAGTCGATGTGTACGTGGTAAGTGTTTGGTTTAAAAGGTAGGGCTATCAAGTTATCCATGTTGCTGGTAGTTATTCCACGATGTTGTATAAAGATAGTATATAGGTATCTATCAAGCTCAAAAATCTCTTAGTTCCTGCCCAGGGATTCTCATATATCAGGTAGGTACCTATCAACCCGAGTATCTCTAGCCAGAAAAAGCAGATAGACAAAGCTAACGGCATCGCATACAATACAATACATACAAGCTCTAAGACAAGTAGATGAGAGAGAGAGAGAGAGAGAGAGAGAGAGAGAGCATGGCGAGGATTTATAAGGATATATCTTCTAATTCAACCACACCTAGATACAACAAGCCTCATCCCCTCACCCACCCATCCGCCCAACCCCTAAGAGAGTACATAAATAAAAAAAAACAAAGAGACGAGAGAACAGAAACCCCAATATATATCCCGTCTCAAATGCAGCAATAGCTATATAATATAATATATCAATGGTCATAGGTATAGGTATAGGTGTAGGTGTAGGTATAGGTATATATAAACCCAGCCAGCCAACCAGCCGCCTACTGTTAAACACCTGACGAACAAATGAGACGCGGCCATGAAGAAATATATCGAACGGGTTGGAATCATAAATGTCTTGTATCCTTTCCTCTTGTTGACTTTCCTTGTTTTCTACAAAAGCAGCCACCATTGCCCTTGCAATAATATGTAGCCTTCCGGCCAGAAACTCCCCGACCATGTTTGAGTTTGGTGTCGTCCTCTATGCCATTGCCCATTGCCCATTGCCCATTGCCCTCCACACCCCCCTATCCTTCCCCGCGCGGTGCTTTCTCGGTGCTTGTTATTCGGTCCCTCTTCCGAGAATTGATGATTTGGGGAACCAGTAAGGACCTCCTACTACTATGAAGCAGACCTAAGCGCTTCGGTCGTAACATACTCGTCCATTCATCGATGCTCGATACGTTCGTTGCTCGCTATTCGCCAGTAACAGAACCGAGATCGTTTTCCCGTGATCCCGTACGCCATCATGGTCTCATGTCCCCTCCCCCCCCAACCCCCAACCCCCAACCCCCTTCTGCTGGTTCGAATACAGCGATTCTTCCCCGGTACGACAAATCGTATTACCATGCTTTAGGTACGCCACTCTCCACCGGCATCTCGATGTCTAAATTTGAGCGCAGTCGCTCATAAAAGCTCGTCGCTACCACTCGCGACACTTTCCACGATGGCCTGTAGAATGACACGTTCCTCGAAGACGGGACCTTGTCCGTCGCACTTGGCTTGGGATTTTAGCCGCAGGCTCACATCGCCGACATCGACCCTGCCCTGTTTAAATAACTCATGATTAATGATGTAATCCCACGTAGCACCCGCAGCCAAGAGACGCTCTCCGCCAGACTCCACTATGCGGTGGCTCGGGGTCTTGTTGGTGTGGTTCTGGAGGAGGTCCGAGTAGAAGTCCGTGGGGTTGTACTGCATTGGGCCTGTGGTCGTCGGGGCAGGGGGCGACAGGGAACCGTTCTGGGCGTGGACGTTGGACGTGGCGCGCAGAATCTCGTTCTCGGTGCTCATCTTCTGCAGGTCGCGTTTCAGCTTTTCGTTCTCGCTGGCCGTCTGATGCTGTTGTGCTTCCAAGCTAGCTAGCTTCGCTTCGAGGTCTTTAACATGTCGTTCTTTGCGTTCCCGGAATGCGCGCTGACTAGAGACGGATGCAATGTTAGTCAAACACTAATGACCTTGCGATATTCATTTATCACATGCTGGACCGTTCCTCCAATCCAAGACCCCGGGGGTAACTCACGCGGCCCGATTTTGCGCCTTCCGGCGGGATTGGGCAGGCGTCAGATCGTCGTCATCCGAATTGGATCCCGTCTGTCTATTTGCATCGGGATCCGGCTTGGCCATAGGTAGTATATCGGCCGGGTTACTCTTCACACTCGAAGCACTATTCACTTGAGATTGGTTCTGGCTGCTCTGACCGTGGATCGGATGCGTCGGCGGTGTCGGCGGGCCGGGAGGGCCGGGGAAGGCCTGAGGTTGCGGATTGAATTGGGCATACGGCTCAAAGTTCTGTTGGAATTGTTCACTATTCTGGAAGCCATCGTAAACATCCTGAGTGACGTAGGGAGATCAGCGCTCCATTTTCTAGGCAAGGTGATATAACCCTACACTAAAAACTGAAACAAAGCAAAGGCACGGAATACACTAACATGTGGAGAGTGGTTGTTGAACTCGTCGGATGCGGCTGAGTTGGAATGAGACGGGGTCAAGGGAGGAATCCCGATAAAGTGATAGGGATGAGCTCCACCGTAGAAGGGATGTGAGAAATCCATTTTCTGACTTGAGAAGACTCGATCGCAGGATATCTACTATACGGTATACGGTATACGGTATACGGAATAAGAGTGCGTAGACGTTGCGAGCAAGTGTAGAGGAAGTGGAAAGAAGCCTGCACGGCGAGACCGGCGGTTCGATGGTGTTATTACTCGGGTCTCCCAGTAATACGTCCAAGGAAGCTGGGAAGCTGGGAAGCAGGAAAGCTGCTGATGGATGGTTCAAGTAACGGGGGGTTAATACAAGGTCCAGGTCCAGGGGTGTCTCTCTTTGGTTTGGCCGTTCCCGAACACAGGGGAGGCTTGCTAATCTACCAGATCTGCGTAGCGTGCTTGGGATTGACACAAGTTGGCAGCACAGCAGATCAGAAGGCCAGGTGTTTCTTGATATCAGGCAAAGTTAAGTACGTAGGCGAGAACAGAAGTCTCATCATCGCTTTGTGTTTCCCTGCTTCGGCCTCCGGTGGAAATGCAGTCGAGGGATATTTGAAGAGCACGGGGAATATGTATCCTTAAGCCTTTTGGGTCTTTTGGAGCCACAGAAATAAGAGGAGACCATCTTACTAATTTTGGCAATATGCCATGTTCCTTCGGTTGAGGTGGCAAATAGGAGTTGCCCATTCTATCTCCACAGACGGGAAGGGTGGATTGTCCCGTACCCAACTGGTCTAGAGGGGGATGTCGAAAGACGCTGTCGACTTTAAAATATCCCACCTGCATACATATCCCACGCCACCCGCCGTTCCTAGAACATTCGGCGGTGATTCGACAACCCCAAACTACAACGAAAGGGGTCACAAACGAGTGTTCGTCTCGAGAAAAAACCTTAGATTACATAGGTCTTTCAGACCTTTCTTGCATTTAGTTGAATGTTTCAATTCCTATTGGATAGAAACATACCTAAACAGCCAGGCAAGCCAGAGTATACCATATGGCTCAATCTTCGGTGATGACGAGACTTGGGGGGCCACTAACCTAATAAAAGATAATCATGTTCGAAGCAGACCATAGCTAGGTTCCTCCCGCAAATTTTTCGACCTTTGCACGTCTTCGAATCCTTCATACCTCTTTTGACTTACACACGCTTCTTACACCCCTCTTAGACCCAGAGAGAGGACCAGTGTTTGAGGTACTTCGGTCGTCACCTGCACTTCCGCCGGGTTGCGTAGGCCGTTCAACAACAGGCATAGTTGACATGCGGGATCGTACCGCCATTCCATTTTTCTCGTAGCCAATCATTGCCATAGGATCGATCAACTTCTCCGCTAGAAACAGATAACCTCTGCTTCGATAGTAGCACATTACACACACTGACGTTAGACAATGTTTCCGCCAGATACCCCCTCAAACTGCTGACAGTGTCTGCAGCTGAGGCGGTATAGGACGAGGATTGGAAGGTCTCGATCCTCCACAGCCATTTTTTCTCTCCCCGACAGTTGACCATGAGCGAAGGCCGTATCCTAGTCGTTTTCGAGTACCATGCAATTACAAGCATCCCCGAAAATAGCAGGTGTAGACGTAGAGCGCCTACGAACTCTTATTCAAACCCCTCGGGGTGTTCAACAACTTCAGTGCTGACCAGGAAATTAAACGGCCAGATTTTCTGCTATTCATCAGCTCTCCTAAAAATGATAAGCTTAACGCGTATTGCAAGACGTAATGTGCAATAATAATTGACTCCGTACGTAGTAGACAATACCCAACATATCTTAAGTCTGATGACACCGCAAATGTACTGTATCCCATCTGGGTTACGTTCGGCCTTGTTCTTATAGGTCGTGTTGCATCGAGGCTACCTCCGTAATGTGACTAGGGAGTCGGTAGGGCGTCTACATGATATTAGCCAGTGCAGTAGTTGATTGCCGCTTAAGGAGCTTTATGTAGGCCATCACGTGCTTTGCTGATACTGGGTCATTCCACCTACTCGCATTTTCGAGGAAGCATCTAGTGAGAAAATCTTGGAACCTCATTCACACACTGCGTCGTCTAAAAGTAGTTGGAGTCGATATTGGAATCTTAGGGTCGCTATCCAAGACTTTCGAGGCGAATATCGCGATGGCGGGATTTGGGGTAACACTACTCCCCCTACAAAAGGGGTGCAGAGAATGGGGCGATGATTCTCAGGCCTACCGCCGAGTGAGAGGTATGGACAATATTCTAGAGCTTGTGGGGTCTACTTCGGTTCGCTGCTGAAGCGCATGATCATACGTCGATTAGTAAACCCCAGTCTATCTTTGGCGGTATCAGGGCGCTCACCCTTGACCCTTGTGTCGAAATTTGGCTTCTCGGGGGCAGTGGGAGCTAGACGAATTTTGATGCTGAAAACATCGGTCCGGATAGGTTTTCAATGCCCCGAGCGAAATTCAAGATATAATAGGGTTTCCCGAGCAGGAAATCTCCTTTATTTCTCGGTTACCCAGGTATAGACGGGCGAGAAGTTTGTCTTGTATTATAAGTGTTTCAGGGGCACCATAATACGAAAATCAACGAGCTGTCAGACTTGGAAGCCGAACCGTATTGGGTCTAACGATATAATGATGTTATATTAGCATTCATTCCCAATTTAAACAGATAGGTAAGTGACAAACATCCTTTCTTGTGTAGGCACTCTCGCCGAGGATGTAGATTTATTACAGACCCTAGTTAATATTAGATGGAAGTATAGCGAGAGCATCAAGGACCGACCCTTATAAGATCTGGACATACATCGAATTCATATTCATCTAATATCTCGTATATCTCGTATATCCCCAACAATACTAATAGGAGTACGACCGGTCAACTTTCTGAGTAAAGAAGTACGGTTACGTTGGGTATCCGCTCAAAATCGGATAAGTCTCAGGGCCTTCTCGTGGCAATGCGAGATAAGAATAAAGCCAGAACAATACGGCAGAAGCAAACTTCGGAAAGTTAGAATAGCTTGAACCTGACCAGGCGTTTTCGTTTGTATCATGGCCGTTTTAACCTCGCGCCAGTTTTTGTGTCAAACATTCTGATGATGAGTCGCCTCCAACGTAGCTTATCATTATGACCTAACTGCATTCGGAGGGGAGGTATAGAAGCCCTAGGGATGGATAAGATGCGAGAAGTAGAACATAACCGGTGGCCTTCAATAAATGGGGTTTGATATATAAATAGGACGGATAGAGGGGCGCACGTCGGGTAGTGCAGCATACCTATCTAAAGGATGTCAGGATAGGCTGTTCCGTCTGAAGTTATTAGGTTACTTACTACGTGACGTAGTTCACGAAGTTGAATGAAACAAAACAGACGCCATTAATTGTTTGCACTTGGAATATTTTGTGCTTGAGATAATGGTCTGATGTTTCTTCTTTAGAGTTGTAAAAGGTACGGGGAAAAAAAGATATAAGGCCTAGCAGTTAAGCAAGTTCACAACTTCCCCTAGCCCCTGACTTTGACTGTTCTTTCCTGTTTACCCAGGTAGGCACTCGGGAGAACTTCCTTCTGTCCCCATATACTGACTCCTTACAAGATACAGAGGAAGGAAGTGATATGTCTCCGCTCTAGTTCCTACAGCTACCATAGTTCCTACCTCCGCAGGTGCAGTTCCTGCCTACAATCAATTAGGTAACAAATCCAAACAACTAGCACCAAACAAAGTACAACACCCAAGTGCCAATCTTGGAAACTACAGTCGAGTAGACTAGAAAGGTAAGGTACCTAGGTAGTCAATACCTTCCAGTTTAATATTGAGAGGCCGAGAAAAGTAGGTGTTGCCTCTTCTTCTACTTTATCCCCATCTCCATCATCATTTCCACCACCGACAACAACCAACAACATCATCGTCATCTCACGTTTCTTTCCTCCTATTTTATTCTATCCTGCTCTCTTTCTTGAAGGATACTGGCAAGTCATCGTCAACAACTCTTCTTGTCTATCGGTCAGTCACCATGGAGACGCACTTGTCTCAGCAACCAGATCAACCCAGCTCATCGCAGCGACAATACACCACTGTTGGTTCGGTCTGGAACCCACAATCAATGCCGCTACAGCCTCCCGCACGGCGCGGTCGAGCTCTTCGATCTGCTATGCCTATGTCTATGCTCGAGCCTTACCCGGACGACTCCTTCAATACCTTTGGCACTGCACAACCGTATTCTCACTCGCAATATTATTCACCTTTGCAGCAGAATTTCGATCGCGCTGTCAGTCCCGTCCAGGCTACTCGTATACTAACTCACGATAATCCTATGCACACTGATCATCCCCACTATCTCGACAATCTTGTTTCCCCCGGTAGCTCTGCTCCCAAGCGAATCTCCGAGTTCAAGAGGCAGTATCCCTCTACTCCTTCTGTCGACATGCCTCAGAAGATTGTTCCAGCTATTCCGCTCCTACCCGGCACCGCACCTGTTAACCCCCACAAACAGGGCGAAGCAAACAACCACTATGGCAACGAGGGCAACAATTACGAGCAGGACGATGTAGAGGAAGAAGAGGATATGAATGTAACCCTCAATAATATGTCAACCAAGACACTGACTAACTTGGCATCCTACTCTAACCCTATGCAGAAAGCTGCACAGAAAGTTCTCACCAAAGCTAGGCAGGCTCCTCCGGTGCCGCATCATCAAGTCTCGGATTCCATCTCGCAGAACGGCAGCGGTTTGAATTTTCCACCCGGTTTCGGCCCTAGAAATACCCGATCTGACCCAGTTGGCGTCGAGAGTCTACTTCAGTCCGATAGATTCGACGGGCGTAACCATAATCAGCACCCCACTCCTCTTCATCTGGGCGTTACGACAAATACTGCCCGAGAGCACGATTCTTACCCGGCCGTCTTATCCAAGGGACCAGGCGCTCCGCAGCCCCTAACTGCGGGCCCTCCTGGACAACGTCACTTCCAGCCCTCGGCCTTCGACGGAGCCCCGAGTTCGCTGCGGAAAGGGTTTGAGAAGCCTCACGAATTCGACACCTTCGGTGACGGTCTTCCTCGCCATCAGCCTTTCTCATGCTTCCAGTCCCAGCAACCTATGCAGCCCACACCTCGACAGCCCACCCCTTCATACAAGAGTGAGACTTTCTCCTGTATCCACCCCCCTGCACTATTTCTGAGCAAAGAGAGCAACCCTAGCATCAGGATGGTTGACACGCTCACGTATGAGAAAGCCAAGACGTTCTTTCCGAAGGGGCTTCCCCCGGACTTCAACTTTCACACCCAGCCAGTGACCGACGATTGGGCAGAGAAACATATGAAGGAGGAAGAAGATAAGGAGAAGCGTAAGAAGAACAAACTATTATGGCAGCAGACGCCCGAATTCCAAGCGGCCCACAAGGATAAGCTCGATCGAGACTTCTACAATGGGAACTACATGATCAACAAGAACTTGAGAGTAGCGATCCATGAGAAGTACACCCGTGATATAACACGTTCCCTTGGTTCTAAGTCCCAGGAATACCAAGATTCCCTGAAGCTTAAGCCCGAGAATAAGGTTGAGGGCCGTTATATATCGGTTGAGGATGCTAACTCGATCCCCACGCATGAGCACGCTGAGCCGCTCCTAAGCGTGTTGTACCAGTCTCTAGAAAGAAACCAGGGGCTCTACTCGCAGCAGAAACCCCCCAACAATAGTGGACTGCGCTAGATCTCTCCCAAGGAGCATTCACAACCGCTGAAGATGATTGGAGTATCTATAGATATCCAAGTCGTAGACTTGGCAACTACGTGAATAAGAGATGCAGGTGGAATCGTTATTACAAGGACTGGACCATACAATTTAAGCAGTTGAAGGGATATGCATGAGGCAAAGTCTGGAAAAGAAGAAGAGATTGCGGAAGAAAAGAGTGCAAAAGGCACTTTATTGATGATGATGCAGATCAATTAGGGGGTTTTCGAGGATAATCATCAGCTTGTATTCTTCAAGGATCTCGGAAGCATACGAACACCGCATCGCGGCGGAGTTTTGGATTAGAAGGTCGCGCTCGCGCGTGTGCATCACGTCTACAGGACAGTAATGGGCGTTGGCCGGTTGTATCAGGATGGAATCTTCTTCTCTAATGGAGCGAGGGCACTGAGCTTTGTATGTACGAAATTGCTTTGGCATTCGTTGATCAATGATTTCATATCCTTTGTGGTTTATCTCCTAACTTAGCCGCGACTTCTGACCCATGGAGATCGTGTATCTTACGTAGGGAGGCGTGTACCTCTTGCATGACCTTACGGGAGTGCATGAACTTCTGGGTATCACGTTTTGCGTGTCGATTTGTTGCGTTTAGTCGGACTTGTTAGGTAAATTTCACCTCTTCGTCTATCTGTAGGTATCTTCGAGGTTTCGTGGATTTCGATAAGGGGGAATTTTGTAATAGTAATTATCTTATACATTAATGCACATATGAGCACACACTTATATTAGGTACCCGTTAGCTTTCTAATTATCTACCCCTTCCTGTTCTTGCTTAATCCAGATTAACCTACCTACCTATACTAGCTCCTCATTGCTATTGCATCTCATCATATCCTCCCCATCTACTTCCGTTTCCACCCTTTGCCTCTCGCCATGCAACACTTTACCATAGAGCCCTTAGCTAGGTAGGTAGGTAGGTAGGTAGGTAGGTAGGTAGGTAGGTAGGTAACTTTATAACTCCATAACAATAAATATTTCGTCGTGATTATGGTTAACTACCTACCTAAGCTATAGAGCCGATAGAAAAGCTACCTGACTGACAGACAAGAAGAGGACCGCCCTGTCGAGCACTGATTTAGGATATCATACTTTGATTCGCTAGGTAGATAACGAAACTACACCCATATAAACAAACAACCTTACACCAGACAAAATTCATTCTCACCATTCATTACATTACCACTCTCTCACATCACAAATACACTTAATCCGAGTCGAGTCAACTTGAGCCAAGCCAAGCCAAGCTATGGAAGCAGCATCACCTAACCTAGAAAAACGTGAATAAAATTTCCGAGGACTAAAATACGTCTCTCATCTCACTCCTTCTCTCTCGAGGCCACATAGCTTTTACCTAACATAATCTAACTTGACCTATTCAACGGCGCAACCTCTACAAAGCAGCCGTAAGTAATAAAGGCCAAGCCCCCTCTCATTTTTCCTCCTCTTCTCCTGATGAAAATATAAGCGCTCGCTCGCTTGCCTGCTTGTTGGGTCCCATTACCCCCTTCTTACTCTCCTGGCTTCGTTCCTCTAGGAGTACTTCGCCTCTCGTCATAATCTTCTGCTCAACAGCCAAAGCAAACAACACTAAAACCACCTCAAGTAGGCAGCCAATTAACACACGCAGCCTCCAGCCTACCCCCTTGCGCCCCCTCAAACGGGGGTCCTCCTATTGCACGTGGGATATCCGGAAAGCAGTTTCGAAGTTCGAAAAAAAAAGGGGGCACTAAGTAAAAAAAAAACACAAGAGAAGAATTTCCTAACATTTGCATGCCTATGTAGGTAGGCAAGTGAAACACGCACTGATGGTCAAGAAATATGTGATGAGTTCCAAGAGAGAGAAAAGGTGCGGCGTAATAACATAACATAAAGTTGGTTCTTCTCCATTGCGTGCCAGCAATCGCCTGATGAGAGTAATAACTGAGCCTAGTAGAATGCCTAGTTGCGTGAAGAAACGTTCGTACAAAGGAATTGAAATCGGTGGACGTGGCACCGTAATGTGATGATGAAACATGTGGTTGTTGGGAGCCAAGGCCCCTGAGTTGTCGATCGAGCCTGAAGGAAAAGATTTTCTAGTAGCCCGAGCCCAGAATCAACGCCCGCGGAGCCCTTTTCCTACGTCACTCCGGCTGGCCGGAGAAGACGATATCGTGGTATATGAAGAAAGAAAGAAAAATATCTGAAGGGGGTATGCTATGACAACACCAAGACACAAAAGGTCAAAGACCCGCTAACCATGTAGAAAGAACGTCTTATCTACCAAAGACATCCGCCATCCGCCATCCTCTCTCATCGACGTCGACTCGTAGGTTGTCTCTGCTTGAGACGACTGGTTCTCCATCCCTCATACCATTGTTCTCTGCTGGCCTCGCGCAGTTCACCGCGCCACTCGCCGAATACTGCATCCTTCAGCTTAGTGAAGTCACAGTGCTCCTCGTTGTAAGGGTCTGCAAACCCCCAAGGGAACTTGCGACCAACAACGCCAGGCTCGTAAATATCGGGGCTGATTATGGACATTGGCAGGAAAGGAAGTTCTTCAGTTGTCACTCCCTCAGATGACTTAGGTCGGCGAGTGGAGGTATTCGAGCGGCGTTTTGAAGCTGGCGAAACTCTGCCTTGAATGGGGAGCTCTTCATCCTCTTCTCCAGCGCTATCGTCCTCTATAACTGCAGGTTTTTCCTCGTCTTGCTTATCGTCTCCTAACTCTGCTGACTCAACTGCCTTTTCACCTTCCTCTTGATCCTCCTCTTCGACCTCGTCGATTCTGCTAGAATCCGGCGTGGTATCATCTTCATCATCGAGACCCAATGCTTCGAGGGGATCAAAGTTTGCTTTCTTGAGGCTAGCCCAGACAGTCTTCTTGAGGACGGCCATGTGGGCGGTGGTTATCGTGTCGGCTTTCGAGACAACCGGTATCACTGTTGTCTTGCCCTGTAGGGTTCGCATAACCTGTAGGTCAAGATCTTCGTCTAGGCCACCTACGACGCGGCCAATGTCTAGTTCGTACTTCTCGCTGTGGCCGTTGGCTGAGACAGCTTTCGCGGCAGCTATATTCCGGTCTAGACGAGCAGGGTCCAAGACGAGGAAAACTGCGTGGATGTGCGTATCCTGAACGCCGGGTGATCGGATCACCTTCATCTCCTCAGCAAAGGTTTCCTCAAACTTACTCTCCAAGAACGTTGACATTTCTCTCAATTGCAAATCTACCACATTCTTCTCGAGTCCCTCCGAGTCCCACAGGGTCAAGCCGATACGCTCGCCGTCGATTTCGCTCTCAAGGTAGTGCGGTATGAAGTTACCCGAGGGGGTTGCATTGGAGGTAACCTCTTGTTCAATCTCAGTCGACCGTTGTGATCGTTTCTTCTCTGGCAGGGCCAGGGCGGTCTTGAGAAATTCGAGGAATGAGGTCTTTCCGGAGCCACGGGTGCCCACAATAAGAATACTGCGAGTTTATTGTAAGCTTCGACATCGAGGAAACGAATGAAGGGAAACATACTTGAAAGGAGTAGGGTCCTTCCTCCTACGAACCCTTCTAGGGCTGTTAATAGTGCTCATGGCACTACTCGCATAGCTGTATCGACCACGGTGCGTCATACTTTCGGTACGAGCGTAGGGATCAACGTAAACTCCACTGGGAACGGGAGGTACGGAAGGACTAGCAACAGAGGACATCGAAGGACGACCGGGATCGATAGACGCTCTAGGTGGGAAGTGGTGAAATGAATGGTCGACTTTTCCAGAAACGATGGCGATAGAATCCGGGCGGGTATCGCCTCCAAAGCTCTGAAGTGGTTCAAGAGGTTGAGCACCATTGTAGAGATCGGGCAGACGAGGGGGGGACTTAGGAACGCTTTCCCGTTGCGGCACCTCCTTATGGTGCTTCCTACCACCCTTACCCAAGTCGCCCGATTTACTGCGTCGAAGCAACATCCCGAGACTAGATCGATGAGGCGGTTGGCTCATAGTTTTATCCTTGCTAGCATCAACTCAACGCAATCCGCGCTTAGATGGCAAGAGCTATCTAAGGTTCGAATAACGACGAAATGGCGACCAGTACCTAGAAGCGTCTACCTGAGATAGGTACCTTTGCAGGAAGAAAGGTAAGAGCCTGTACTTTGCTGGACAATTTATAGTTCAAGAGTAGGTTTTAACTGCAAGGCCAAAGATCTCCTTCTGTTCAAGCCCTAAGTGGTTGACTTTCCTGGTGAGGGGTTGCGCAGAGGCGTACTCGTAATTATGCAGGCGAGCGACTAAAAAGACGTTGCGATTTGGGGCAAGGGTATCTTCCTATCTTGTGTTCGATCTTACTGCTGTGGAGAGATCCTATCTCGTACTAAAGGCAGGTGAATCCGAGACAAATGAAAGTGTAAGGATGCGCGCGTGTAAATTGGGCGTCCTGTCTCGTCTATCTTCCAATGAATTGGAATACTTCAAGAAACGTATTTCAAAAGAGTTGATTTAGAGATATTTCAACTCAAACGACTTATACTGCCGGGTATAGTCGTAAAGGTAAATATTTGGACGAAACCAAGAGGCGAACGCTGAACGCAAAGTAAATCGAAAAGACCTAAAGAGAAGAAGATATCAAAGGGGTCAGCTAGTTGTCGAAGTTGTCTTGCAACGAAATTAATTCAATCCAGGTCCTTGTAAATGCAAACAAGTGGGTCGCAATTCAATGGCACTGAACTGGTGGAAATAACAATGTATCGGGTATACTGCTCGTACTATTTTTGACGGAGAGTCTGGCGCAATAAAAAGATGAACGTCTTCAAGAATGAAAATGTGCTCGGGGGGGTTAAGAAAGGGAACCCAAGGGGAGCTGCAATAGTATTGACCAACAAGCTTCAAGCTCTCTATCTTGCTTTCTGTACTTGATCTCGCGTGGCGCGACAGCGGAGGTGGGCAAAGATCGGATTGTGCTTCAATTGGTACCTTCTCCAAAGGTACGTAAGGTAGAAGGGATTGTTGAAGGAGAACGAGCCAATCCAAGGTTGCTATTCTGTGATCTACCGACCTGCGGGAGGAGGGCGTAATGGTTTTCGAAGTTGTATGTAATGCAAGCCTTAAAGCTATACAAACCATCTATAGCTAACCCGTGAAGTTGAATCGAAACACCATAGGATAAACGCGACGCGGCAGGAATAGTCACCAGTCACCAACCAAAGAATAGAAATTCACTAACCTGAACGAATGTAAACGAGCGTCAAATCGCACGATGTGTGGTCAGTTCGCGATGGCGCGCTGGAACAAGATCTTGGGTAGAAGAATGGGGAGGGCGTTTAACGGCTGCAAAAATTGGGGCTGTTGGTCGATGCAGATTAGAAAAAAGGGTCTGCTTCTTGTTTGGTTTGTGGTCTGTGTGCACAATTTAATGGGGTGTTGTTAAAGATCAACCGGCCTTAGGATTCCGGGGGAATATTGCACATGTAAAGCGTTAATGCATAAAAAAAAAACAATGCTCAATATCCGATGATGTTCAGAAGCCTGAAGGAATGGAACAGTCAGAACTTCATGCGCAAGGCCAAACTTTTTTTTCCCCCCTTGATAAGAGGTATGCGTCGCGAAATTCAGAAGACGACGTTGTCAGGCATCACGACAGTAGATGAGATGAGCTGCTAACCCCAAATCCAAATCTGGGATGAAAAGGGGAAGCGCCCCATAATCATTATCCACGCTGCTGCTGCCACGCTAGGTTATGCGGTTTCAAGTCAAAGTTTATTCGTGATTGGCCCAGTCGGCGCAACCCAAGTAAGGCTAGCCACGGTTTGGTGTCGCTACCAACTGACACAGTAAATATCCCGAGAGCCTAGCTGGATGGCGAGCAATTGGGGTACATACCTACCTTAATAGGCTAGCGTTGCAGAATTGAATTTAACATCCACGCATGGGATAACGCGTACAAATCGTGCTTTCCTCTATGTAGAACCTTAGAACGTAGTGTAATTGCAACACTACATGTAGCTTAGGTAAACTTAGTACTTGACTACCCCGATGACTCTTATTAATACAACCTTGCCTATTACCAACACAGAGAGCCAACAAGCAATTATATTTATATCGGCGATAGCTTCATGCCAACTAGCAAATTCCAACTAGTATTGCGCACTATTCCCTTACGCAAACACCCCTCCGACGGCTACCCACCTAAGCTACTAAAACATGACCAACAGCCAGCTCCAGCGTCCGCGTGAATTCTCCACGTGCTGTGTTCAACTAACGAATGGCTTGCAGTGTTGTGCACGGTACCTAGTTTTGTCTCGGCTAGGTGCATCTAATCCAATATATCTCCGCCAAAACTAGTCGTGGATTTAATGTAAATATATGCTGTGTCCCGTTCAGAACATGACTTGGGCAAGCCATAATGAGCTGGCAACCGTCTTAAGCAACGCCCGATCCAATATGCACAGTGTAATAGAATAGATTTACCTAGTATGGAGCTTATAGAGTAGACTTCATTATGATACTGTACCTCATTATACAATTCAGTCATCTCCTAATGTCAAACGGGGAAACAGCATCAAGTATATAAACTATCCACCTCGTATCTTACACAGCGTCTGCAGATCGCTCCAAAAAAGAAGTCAAGAGGTGTAAGTAGTTTTTCAAGGGGGGTTCGTCTCCACCTATAATACAAGTCGACCTGGTGCTGCTCTATGTATATGCCAGCCGTCTAACCCCATCTATGTTTTATGGTTCTACAGAGTCTTCTTGTTTTCCGAGGTAACCCTCAACTCTAGATCTCTAGATCTAAACTTAGACCTTCAACCCTCGAAAACCTCACTAGTGTGTTAAAACATGTTGCGTTAGCTTTCGAATCTTACCTTTATAGAGAATACAGCTCGATTCCACGTTGAGTGGTTGTCAGAGAACATTTCGGAAAGAAAATCCCACTTACTGTTAAGAGGTTAGCTATTGTAGATGAGAGGACTTCAAGGTAAGATTCGGTATATCAGCTTGACATATTGTTCAACGTACCTGCTGCAGCTCGACGCCATAATCTTTAGCCATCTCCCTCATCCTGGCCTCGACTTCATCTTCCATACCGCCTCCCAATCCTAACCATTGCCGGACTTTAAAAGTGTAGAATGCTACATCTGTCGCGAACAAGATGGTCTTAAATAAAAGATGTCGCCATGCGTTGAACATGCGATCCCTGAAAGGTAGATTCGGGTCTTGGAACAAGCTCCGGCTCGCCCAGTTGCCCATTATCTTAACACGATTGACAGGAGATCCCATAAATTGGTTGTTGCCCTAGTATGAAATGAGCGGGATGGACCGATAGGATTGGCCGTAATAATTGTAGATAGGAGTAATATAAACAGGAAAGCTTACCTGGACGATACGCATATTCCGACCGATAAAGACAAGCTCTTGAGGCCACTTTTCCTCGTCCGATAGTACCTCGCGAATGCCTTGCTTCATCATTCGTTGTGCCTCGTAGTGTCTCTCCGACGGCGTCTTTCCCTCAAGCTGCTTCATGATCTTATTCCGAGTGGCTTGATCGCCTCCTTCGTAAGGGCGCAAAAGCGTCGCGCTCGCAAATAGATCGGGTGCCTTGATACCCCATTGCGCTGTGACATCGGCTATTGTCTTATTATCGAAAGTTAAAAGCGATTTCCAGAGAAGTGCGTATTGGTGTCGGAATTTGGGAGTCATGTAAACGTAAAGCCCGTGATCGATAAGAACTAATTCAGGCTTTCCTGATGGTAGTCGTCTTATGAAAATGTTACCGGGATGCGGATCGCAGTGTACAACGCCCCATTTGAATATCTCTGGACCATGTTAGTCTCGTGTACTGCTTCTCAGGCCCTACTCTCCTAGCTTTGTTCAGATGAACATGGCACTGTTCCCGTCTGTTTCCAACCGGAAGACATAAATAGTCGAAGAACATGATATAGGGATGGCGAAAATAGACGTTGATACTTACTACCACCTAGTTAGCATATATGGATCACGAGAGGGCTTAGGGCGAGATCTTTTATACATACCGAGCCGAAAAAAGATCCACCATAGTAGTCATAACTTCCTTACTCGATAAGCCGAGTCCGCCCTTACCTGTCCGTCCTTTCCAGGTCTCTCGATCGGGCTTTAGATTTTCTTTCATTGGATTTACTCGTAGTTCTTGCCGAGCAGCCGCCATGTCCGACGGGCTGAAATCCAACTGAGCACCATGGACGCCAGGAGACCCAACGCCAGAGCCTCCCAGCCATCGACCACGCGTCGCATCTTTATCCCAAAGACGGACGCCTTCGATCCACTCGGTAACTAGGACTCTTCTTGTCGTGAATTCTGAGTAGACTTGGGGGATGTATACCCTGCCTTTGAGACTGGGTTCCGAGTTGACGAGACTTCGCATAATCTCCGAATTCTTGGCTTCTTCTTCAAAATCCGTCTCAAGCATTAGCCGTTCGGTGATATACGGAACTAAGCTGTAGAGAGGGAGGTCAAACCACCATGTGTAAATCCGCATCACGACTCTACCGTACTGGTCAGCCCACTTATAACAAAATAACCCTAGCTACCACATTGATCGACTTACTTAAAGGCCCAGAGATCCCATCCCACTTGCTTGGCAATCTCGGGCTTCTGAAGCTTAATTGCAACTTCCCTTCCATCCGGAAGTCTGGCCCAATGTACCTGTGCGACACTTGCACTGGCTCTCGCCCTACGCTCCATCAGACCTTTACCCTCTTCACCGGTGAAACTAACGCCGAAGACCTCCTCGACACTCTTTCCGCCAAAGTCCTTCCGAATAACCTTCTCGACATCTTTCCACTCGTCCTGCGGGGCATCGTCGAACATCCTTGAAAACATCTTCTGGAACTCGGGCGGCATGACGGCGCTCTGCATAGCAATGGCTTGGCCGATCTTAAGGTAGAGACCGCCATTGGCGCGCAGCAGGTTAAACAGCTTCTCGGCGCTACGTAAGTGCAGATCCTCGATCGTGCCGCCAGTAAGCGGCTCGGCGCGGAAGTTGATCTTGTAGTCGAGGGCGACCCAGAGACCCGTGCCGAAGGTCAACAGGGACCGTCTGATGCCCGCGGCGAACGCCTTGTTATCGATAACATAAATGGTACCAGTTATAGCAGAGAATATCAGCAGCCGCCGGCCCCATTTCCGACTCCGCTTGAAGTCTCGCGCCGCTTGCGGCTTGCCTAACGACGAGGGTGAAGGAGGACGTAGGGGCTCGAAGGAGGAGTACGTTTGTATCGAGCGAGTTTGATGTAAACTCCGCGCATGATTCGGAAGACGTCGACCGACTAGAGTTGGGGTCGCGTGAGCTACATTGTAAGCCTTGATTCTCTGTTTCGGGATGATTTGGCAGGTGTAGAGCTTCGCTACTCCGTTGCGGAACATATTAGCTACGGCACGTAGCAAAGTTCAGAGGCGGAAGACAAGCTTCCAACCTCGTGCAGTACATGTAGTTGGACTCCTCCAAGATAGTTGTTTTGCTACGGGTAAGAAAAAAAGGTAGTTCCCGACCCTAGGCTGCACGGATTCCGTAAGCCAAGATCAATGACGATAGATATATTATCCTTATCTCAGAAATCTTATCTCCGACGGCACCGAATAGGCCGATGCCCAGTCCGGTTCCCGTCGATACAATAAAGAAATAATCCACAGAAAAGCGAAATTAAGCCCGAATGTACATATATTAGATACCCAGGCACAGTTGAAATAAGGATTTGGTAAGTAACTTCGGGAAAAAGCTGTGATATACCTTAAAATAAGTTCATTATCTTCTACAACATTTACCTAGTTACCACTTATTTACAGATACTTATGTACGACAGCTTTGACCACCTCACTTGCATATTCGGATCTTACGGCCGTCGAGTCCTATCCTTTAGCAGCCCAAAGATGGACTCTCAATTCTCAATTAGAGTCTAGAGCAGAGATAATGTTCTCATAATTGAAGAACCATAATGTGTTCATTGATGGAAGAGTTAGGTATAGACAGCATTCTCTTTCCTCCGTTTCCCGATCTAAGTAGAGCTTTATGAATAAAACTAAATGGTGCGCAATATTTCCAACAATTGAATTTGCTAGAATACAGATAAGAAACCAAGTTCGAACGAGAAGACTACGTATATATATGTATGTAAGTAGCCAAATAGCTAGGATCTACAAAATCCTCTTAAAGATGAAAGATGAAAATCAGGTTTCACGTTAACTCCTGACCCGCCTGAAGACTATCCCTGTAATCTGAGGCTCTGCATCAGAAGCCTACACTACGCGTAGATCATGCGTTTGGTCTAGGATCCGGGGAGTTTGAGAAAGCTGACGCGTGATGAAACACACGCTATGAATACATACCTATGTATTTCTCTAGGTTAGTGTAGTAGTGTACCTAGTCTAAGAGGAAATTAGAATCGTATTTATCTAATCCTATGTATTCTACACTAGAAGTCGGTGATGAGGCCCTCATTAATGGGGCTTTATACGTGTCCGTTCTGGTTGGCTACGACCTCGTTAATTGACTGTCGCGCAAGTTTATGATATTCGTCATGATGGTTGGCTGACTTGTACGAGAAGAAGTAATTTACTTAAGGTGCTGATGTAACAGATATATACACCTGTGGATTGTGACTTGTGATCGGCAAAGTGATAAACTTTGGAGAATTCGTGATTCGCAACGATCTACCAAGACTATGATGAGATGACGCAGATCGTTCTAAGTTGCTTCTAAAATGATAAGTCGGGTTTCCAACCCTGGTTGGGCTCGTAAAATTCAAAATGTTTGCTTTTTTTGATACGAATGAGATAGGAGACATGAAGTAGACATTATAGATATCTGTAGATTCAATCTAACAGGATCCTATCATTGGTGGACTATCAGACAAGGGACAGCTTAAGTACATACTCTTGTATGTATGTAGTTAATCAGATTCTTATTTGCTCACCGACCTTCTTTTTTAAGCCATGTTTGCATCTTATCAATGGAGCCACCGAGATGATGGTCTTACATAGCGTATCTACTTAACAAGTGGCCCCCAAATTCTTGTGTTCTTGAAGAAGCATTTGACCCCACGATACGCTTCTGTCGAGTCTACTATGCAATATATGTAAGCGAATAAAAAAGGTCGCAACTTGAGTCTTGGTATAAGTGATGGTGCATAGGAAACACAATAAAAACACCCGTCTAGTCGAGTATTTCCCCGAATATTAGAATATGCATTGGATGTGATGTGATTTACTAAGACAAGATATGCCAACGGCAAGTCCCGCGATGCCAAGTTTAGCCTATCTGGAAATGTGCAGCAATTCGGCTTTCCAAGTTACGGATAAGCTACCAGCTCATCGCAGTCCCATCAATCGAACTTGCAGAGACGGGAGCCTCTTGGATAGCCTTATTCCGACGTACAGGAGGTCTCGACCCGGGCTATCTTTGTCGCTCGTTACAATAGTAAGGCGGACTCGCCTTCCGGTCCCACGATCCACTGCATCGCATCGTAAAGCATCAAGAAGATGCTTAGCGCGGCTTGGACGTTCCGTTCAGGCTTGGAAATCGGTATTGGCGCAAAAAAGCCACATGGTAATCAAAGCTTATTATGGCACACAGCTCTCAACCAACTGTAACAATAAACAATACCTATATCTCATTGTACGGGGATATTTCGGGTTGTCTTTGTTAGCATTAACATCACAATGACTGAATGATAAGGCGATGTTTGCAGTGGAGCTGAGTCGCTCCGAGGTGTTACGCCGAGTTACTATGCAGTACGGCCTACGCTACTGTAGAATTCGGTGATGCAGATGTGGGCTGTCATGTAGTAGTGACGAGTTTTCTAGGAGTTCCAGGTCCAATACGGTCTAGGTATTTAACCCAGGCCTGCCCGGAACGATACTCTGGAAGAAGTTAGAGGGTATTTCGATCCTGAGGAAGATTTAAGACTGCATTAAGGTTAGGTAGTGTTCATTGGGTAGATCGTGTAATTAAGACTCTTTTAAGACTTTAAGGCCTGATCGACCTCATTGGGACTTGGTCCCGACTAGCTCTACCGCTAGGCGGGTACGGTACCCCACTGTTCAGACGCTTAGCGTAGGGAAGTCAGGGGAGAGTGTAAGGGGAATGCACGAAGCAAGCGGACAAAAAGCATCAGAACATTGAAGCAAGCTAAGCCACTCTCTTAATCGCGACGTGCAGGGGGGGTAAGGGGGCCCACTAATCTAGACTATGACCTGCAGTTGACAGAGTTGGTCCACCAAATTGCGCCAGAGTCCCCTTTGTTCAACCAACCCGCAAGTCAAGAAGGTACGCTAGATTCAGTCACGCTCCCCGTGCCGCCCGCCCAAACAAATCTCATCAGGCGCTTTCCTTCCAATCAACTCCAATCAAACTCCATTTCTTCTAAGTCGACTTTCCGATCTTCGACACCGTCACCACTGGCACTGCCACCACGTCGGCGTAACACATCCGCGCCACTTGGTTTTGATTGATTTTATCCCAATCCGCCCTCAGTCACTCGTTTCTGGAAAGCGTGGTAGGTTGACAAATACAATAACGAGAGGAGATCAAAGGAAGGGATTCGAGAATCCTTCGTAGAAAGAGTTCGCAAAATCGGTTATTTGGGACAGTCTTGGGGATTATGCGCAGCGAATAGAATCGGTATAACGGAACGAGGAACGACAAACGCAGTCAGAACTGAAGAAGACCCATCGATCTACATGTCGCCACCATCGATATCGATATACTTCAATTGCTCACCTTCGCATGCACAATCGCATTGTTACCTTTAAGACCTAATTTGACTCGAACCCGGACTCGATTTCGATTGAACACAAGCGATTACTTAGGCGTCGCGGCTCCTCTGAGTCGGCGCGCTACTAAGCCGTCATCATGTTGCGACCAGCTACACCCTTGACGGTGTTGCTCTTCGCAGCCTTCGCCATGCTGCTACTCGCCGTCCTATCGACCCCCATTATCAAAGCGATTCCTCTGGGTACTTACAAAGGCGTCAACTTTGGGGTGTTTGGGTTTTGTGAAGCGGACGGCCGGTGTAGCCCAATAGAGATTGGATATGATACATGTATGCCTACCTCCCTGAACTTATTCCTATGAAGGCTCAGTTTGAATTATATCTAACATATTTTCAGCGAAAATCTATTCTCCTACGGACTCAGCTACCTTCGATTTACCTTCTACAACGCGGACAACTCTTTCCGCTATCCTCGTGGTTCATCCCGTTGCCTGTCTCCTTACATTGGTGATGCTGGTACTTGCCATTGTCGCCCATCTTCATTCTCCTTCTCATTCGTCACGTTATTTGTTACTACTTTTTATCTTCGGCATCATTACATTTCTAGTATGCCTCCTTGCCTTTTTAATCGACGTGTTACTTTTCGTTCCTCATATGGCCTGGGGCTCTTATATCGTTCTAGCTGCTACGATTCTTGTATTCATGAGTTTCATTATTTCGTGCGCCATGCGACGCACCCTAGTCAATAGAAAGGCAAGAAAGAGGCGAATCGCAGAGAACGCCGAGATGAGTGGAGAGAATTACTACAACCGCCAGGCTCAACAAGAGGTGGTATCTCCCACGCCTGTTTCACGACAGCCTACTGTTCCCGTTGTTAGTGGAGCGAACGGACCAAGCGATGGGTTTGCCTCATTCGAGAAAAAGGACGATCGCAGCAGTGACGAACGTATTCCTCTAACCGCCAGGACTCCTTCTGACAGGTCCCCGAATCATGCTCCTGCCGATACGAGCATGTCGGGCTCCACGTATAATATGCCCCAACGGACAGGCTCTAGCAACTCGATGCCAAGAGACCAGTATGGTAATCCGATTGAGCAGCCCCAGGATGGCTACAAAATGCGACGAGGTCCATCTTTCGAGCGTATGAATGCAAGGGGCCGTGGTGGTCCTCCAGCTAATTATAGAGGACGAGGAGGCTATGGAAGAGGGGGCTACGGTGCTCCCTATGGCCCACCAGGCGGAAGGGGTGGATACGGCCCACCGCCGAATGGAAGAGGCGGCTACGGTCCCGGCCGCGGTGGTTACGGGCCGCCACCCAATGGGCGAGGGGGTTACGGTCCCCGTAGAGGCTATGGTCCGGGTGAGATGAGAGGCGGAAGAACACCGCCACCAACATACCCAGGTGGCGGACCCTATGATCGAAGACCATCTCCGGCTAGCGCCTATGGTGATTATGGTCCAGGACGGCAAGGGTCACCGGCGGTACCAATCAACCCCTACGAAGCTGAGCCGCCCGTACCGAGTATCCCAGTTGGTATGGCTGAAGGAGCTAATTACCAAGCATATAATCCGGATCGTGCTAGTGACCTACCCCGAGCAGAGTCCCCTCCTCCGATGCCTGGTATTGATGATGCGCATGAAAGGCCGGTAGGTCAAGCCGTGGAGATGGATGCTTCTACGGGAAGCCCCGCTCACCCACCTCAAGGCTTTGGCCAGTTCAACAACCAACTTAGGGATAGCGATGCGGACGTAGCCGGCATGTTAGCCCTGCAGCAAGCAAGGACATCCTCCCCAAATCGTCACGACACTTTTATGAGCGAAGGAAGCAGATATAGCCAAGAAGGGTTTGTTGAATCGTCGATAAAATAGTTACACCGCTAACATCATAACTAGTCAATATGTTCCTCCTCGTCAGGGATGGCAGGGACCCGAGCGGCCGTCCCAGGTACCTGCTCCTCTTCTAATTCCAACCCGCCCTCAAGAACTTAGCAGCGGGACGCCTCCTCCTCCGCAACCGCAGCCTCAACCAGCA